AAGCCTGAGAGAAAGGGGAAAGAAAACAAGGGAGGGACACTGAAGCTAGCTGAGCTGTCTTTTTTAGTCTTTGATAAAGTTACACTGTACAGATTTTAGAAATTTAAGAAACAGAAAAGCTTGGGCTAGTGCAAAGTCCTGGGACAATAAAAATTGCATTTGTAGGGTAGCAGATGCAGTTCCCAGACACCCTGGGARGTGGTTGAGACCATCTCCTCAGGCTGGTTCACAGCTGAGCACTATCCCAAGCCTGGGCCTGCCCCAAGGCTCAAATTCATGCCATRTGGAGACGTGAGGTCAGAAGATGTCAGACCATGCATCAGAAGATGACTCAGCCCCTAACGCAGAGCTGAAGCTGGTACCCAGCCCCTGCCACTGCTGGTACCCAGCCCCCTGCCAAGCCCAGCCAGTGCACCCTGTGGGTCTCAGGAAGAGGAACCACACCTGATCARTGCTTTGGGAAAAATATAAAACTCTTCAGGTCATCCACTAATGGTGCTGCTGTCTCAACAGATGTTTAATGAAGTTAAAGGTAAACCAGAGCTTGAGTGAATGTGCCATGACTCTAAAAATGCTCCTGCAAAAAAAGGCACCAGTGCTCCATACTGACTGCAAAGAAACCCTTCCCCAGATTTATRTGCACAAATCAGAGGAAGTTTGAAATGCTGCTCACTGACCTCCTGCTACCAGGGAGCGCTGGCAGCACGCAGCCCCCCACGCAGCACGGGCGGGTCACTCACACCGTGTGTATCTGTGCCAATCCTGAAAGGCCACCTCCAGCTCCCACACACCAAAACCTGTGTGCCCTGTGAGTCTTGCAGTGCCAGCTCCTGATGACACCTGATTTGCCCCATCCACAGCAGCCCAAGAGAATGAGGCCACCATACACATGTGCCCAGGCACCCCAGCCCTGCATGCCATGGGGCACCCAGGCTGGCACCTGAGGACAGTGTCACAATCCGGTTGTGTGGCGATCAACAGGGAATCTCTCTACCAGGGAAGGTTATGCTGAGCTCATTTGGGATCATGTCCAGCTCATCACTGCTGCATTTCTGAGCCCCTCCTGCTGCATGGTAGGAAGCTGCTTGTGTAGTTGGCTCCACTGGCATTTACAAATCATCTCTGAATCAACTGAAGGCATAAAGACAACCCTGATAACCGTGAGGCTGAAAACACAAAACAAAATGTGCTGCAGCCCCATAATGGCTGAGCAACTGAAAGAAAAGAGACTGTATAAATGTGACCAAAGAAGGTAAAAATCTTTAAGTGCTGTTGTTACAGACAGAAGAAACTCTCTGTTAGGGAACTGAGCACGTGAAAAAAAAAAAACCCTTGAACTGGTTAAAACCATGCAAAGCATTACTTGTGCACTGGGGTGGAATGTGGTCTGGGCATTGCCACATTTCAAGAGAGTGCCCTTTCAGAGTGCCACTTTGAAGAGAGTGCCCTGTGTTTCTCAGGATCCTGGACAATTACTCAATTTTATATGAGAACTTCAGCCTGCATCCTRCAGGACAAGAGAGGGTTTAAGTGAGCAAGATAGCTGAGCTGACTTGTAACGGCAGCTCCTAAATGAAGCAGGAGGAAACAAGGAAGGATCTAGTGGAGGGAGGGAATAGTCAGCTGTGGGCAGGCCACACCATCCTCTGGACTGTCACTTTTCCCTTTCACACCAAGCTACCTCTCTCCTCCAAGYGGGCTTCCCATCAATTCTGTTCCTCTGCCACCTCATCCCTCACAGATGTTTTTTTCTAAAAAAGAGTGTGCAAATATATTTTCTGGGGGATGGGAGCAGAAACCTCTCCACAGCTCAGGACTATTTCCCCATACAGGTACCCCCTTGCATCCGTCTGCTAAGCTGCAGTATCTCAGGCAGCAGGAGGCCAGCTTCTCACTTTTACTTATCACTTCCAGCACCCTGTTTACAAAACTCAGTAAAAATGCCTCAGTGCTAAAGACTGAAACTTTGACACTGMGGGAGAGAGTTATTCATCCTCTACAGCTGGTCAGTGTGCCCACTGACCTACGTAGTGCCAGCAGCTTCAAAGATGGGCAGATCTGAAAGGCTCAGCRCAGGCACCTGGCCTTTTGTACAGGAAATGCAAGCTTAGGGTGTRAATTTGCCTCCAGGAAGGTGTCAGTGGCAGGGACACTGGCTAGCACCTGCAYATGCCCCCAGGCAGTCTCTGTTGTTATTCCAGCCCTAGAGAAATGATGTAACAGCAGTGCTTTTGTGGAATCCAGCAGCATCCACCCATCAGGCTGTGTAGGATGCCYACATGCAAGGCTGCAGGCTGGGGCTCCTCTTCTGTTTTTGCTGCCAGTGCAAGAAAATTGAGATAAAAATTGAGAAACCAACAGGAGATAAAACACAGACAAAGGACTGCTGAAAAATATCAGTTGTAGTAACTTTTAGGACTAACCTTAGGTGTCAGATGAGCCTCTATTTAGAACATATGAACCATTTTGTGGGTATAACAGCAATATACTCTGTAATCCCTTCCATATTTRGCTTTATTGGCTTATTGTGCAGAGCCATTAGAATCAGGATAGTCTCTTAAGAAGCTGTTAATGGCATGCAAATTGCATGAAAGATTTCTCTGCATCAATAGAAAACAACCTAGTAATACATTCTTGCATAAAATCTGCATAAAAATCTACTACAGAAGACATACTTTGAAAGAAGCAAAAATCCTGCATGACTAAGGAAGAAATATGCTCACTACAGGAAAATGAATATCAGGATTGGAATTAGACATGACCTGTCTCAGAGCTGCTTGGATACCAAAGAGCAGATGTGCCTTTACTGAGGTATCCCGAAGATGGGATTCACACAATCATGGATAGAGCCAGGTAAAAAAAAAGTACAATGAATATTTTATGCACTAAAATATGCAGTTTCAGTCTGACCAAGCCTGAATCTGTGCTGAATTTAGCAAGGAGCAATGGCCAAAATGTGTGATGGTTGAATTAAATTATAAGTCTAAGCAACTTGCTGAGTGTAATGCATTTCTACTTTTCATGCTAAAGTGATTCTTCAACACCAAAATTTGACTTTGAGTAGGGTAGAAACACCTAAAACTAACTATCACGAAGTGCCAAGCCATTAGTCAAGAGAAATGTTGTGCCTTACCTGTTRTATCCCTTTGGGATTTTTTTCTTTTAGGTGTGGACACCGGTGGGACCGTGAATTCAGTCCTTTGTTTCCAGCAAGCACACAGCTGGAATGAACCAGTTATTAGCGTTCAGCCCGTGCCACCTGGACTGGCTGCYTTGCCCATGTGGCACAAGTGGCAGAGTCCCCAGCACCTCAGTGCACTGTCCCTCTCTCACATCGTGCCTTGGATCTGCCTGTTCTGTCTCCAGCCCTAAGTGTCTGGCACCAGAGTGCTGAGAAATACCAGGCCAGGCAGAGCTGCAGGTGTGAAACCCCTCCAGCTTGTCACGGTGGCACTGCCCCAGGGGATACCTGCTACAAAGAACCTGGGAGACAAAGAAGAAAAGCAGCATTGCTGAAATTCCTTGACCTTTTTCTGCCCAAATCACCCACGCACAACAGGAGCCCAGAGTTTCCCTCCAGGGACACTACTCCGTCTCAAGCATGAAAGACCAGGCTTTTCCTGAAATAACATCCAGCTCTTGCTTTGTCGCCTGCTGGGCTCAGCTGATATACATGGAGGAGCCTAAATAAAGAAGTGCTGAACTCCTTGCCCAAGCTTTTCCTCACCGCTATCTGCATTCTTTTGCATTCATTAAAAAACAAACAAACCTGTTTCCTGATAGCAGGGAGGAAAATCACAAGGCTGGGTTATTTGGTTGAGGGTTTTTTTCACTTGCAAAAGGCACTTGAATACTGTGGAGAGAAGCAGCTCTGCATGAAATAGACAGGGAGATTCAAGTGGCTGGTAATAAACAAATGAGATGGGAAAGCAGAACAAACAAGAAATCCACTATCTCCATCTCTCAGGAATAGGAGGAGGGAAGGAGAGATGGGAAAAGAAAAAAAGCATCGGCACTGYTCCACCAGCCAGGTCTTAGAGAGGAACCAGCGCACTCCCAGTCTGGCCCAGGGAGCTGCCTCGGCCAGGCTGAGTGGATGTCAGCCAGAAAGGCTGGGGAAAACAGCCCCCTTGTTTTGCAGTGACAGTTAKATCTCTAAGAGAGAGCTGAAAGAAACAACGAGTGTAGAAACCCACAGCCAACAGCAAAAGCAGCCTCCAGAGGATGACAGGGGGACAAAGATAGCACTGGAGGCTGCGGCACTCCTTGGCGCAGGGCTGGCCAGMGGCGGGAAGTGCCTCACATCCTCTTCTCCGTATTGTTCTCTCAACTCCTCCGGTGGCTGGGAAAGTTTCTTCCAGCAATTTACCCCATCCTCACCCTGCAGCTGGCCAGCCTGCCGCTATTGATTCACTTCCCCAGGCATTTCTCTTACTGTCATGCTCTTGTGGCATCAAAGCAGCCACTGGGCTCAGGCAGGGGGGTGGCCGCAGACTTCTCACTGTTGGAGGAAACTTTTCCTGCATACCAACATTTTTTTAGCCACAGGGAATGGCAATGGTGAGAACGGGGGTAAATGACACTCAAGCAAGATACAGGTGGATTTAGGAAGCATTACTTCTGCTTTATGTGAGAGGAGACACCTTGCAGTACCCAGCGCCACTCCATTATTTGTAAGGCTGTTTTCCTTCCCTCTCAGCACAAAATAAAAATCATCAAACAAAGAGTTCTGGGTTKAGATGCATAATTGGATCAAATTATTGTTAATGACCTCTTTGGTCTATTGTGCCTTTGTTTTCCACCCCAGCTTGCACCAGAGAAGGGAGTGTGTTTAACACTGCAGTCGGGATGACCTGACTTAGAGCCATCCTGGTTTTATTCTTCTCTTCATGATAAGAGTGGGTCCTTGGAAGAGGGCTAACATCCTGCAGGACAAGTCTGGGTCTCACTGCCAGAGAGCTACGGGTGATTGCTAACATGTCATGTCAAGACAAGTACAGGCTGTGGTGTGGTGGACTGGAGGTTTTGAGAGAACTGCGTGTGAGCACAGAGCTTTAACACCGAGGTAACAATTAAACGTCACCTGGGGCTGGYTGTTTAAGTAAGGCAAGTCCTGTTTAACTGCAGGAAAGAACATCATGTAATAGAAATCTAATTACGTTGAACAGTACCCCATGTAAAGGTTATAGTTTATGGATTAACAGCAAGAACTGACGCTGTGAACTGGGAACTCATCTGGAACTGGCTGAAGGGGAAAAGGACATGCTGGTARTTAATTATTTTGGGCACCAATAGGATGCAGTTATGGAAAGAGAAGCAGGGTGCCAGGATGCGCTGGAGAGTGTGTTCAGCAGAGCAGGTGAAAAAAAGAGATGCTGAAGTGCACAGATAAGTACTGAGATGCTGAGTGCCTTGGGGAGTCGCCCAAGGGAACTTCTCTTCTTTTATCACCATATACTACAGAAAGCTATGAAAACACAAAATCCTTTCTCTGTATGGCACAAGAGAAACTGATTTGCTAACTACTGTAAAGCAAAAAGTCCCTCTCTGGTAGAGCAGTGATGTTCTGGACCAGCCCAACAGTCAGACACAAAAGCCACAGTGAGCTTTGTGACAACCAGGTTGGATCAGGACAAAAGCAGTGAGAGGCAGTGTCTGCCATGGAAGAAGCCAGGATTCAGAGGGCATTCATCCTCATCCCATGAACCCAGGGAAAAAGCAGAAGCTGAATGGAAAATTTGTGTAGCTGTTTGAATTATTTGGAAAAAAAAACAAAACAAAACAAAAAAAACAAAAAAAAAAAACCAAAAAAAAACCCAAAAGTCCTGTTAATGTGTCACTGCAACTCTTTTAGTGCTGGATGTAGCCAGCCTTTGATCCCAAACCTTTAATGCATTCGATAAAAGGCATGGTGGCTGCAAGTCCTCTCTGGTGTGATTGCTTACATGGCTGAAAGGTGTGTGGCAYTGTGCAGGGTGTCTCTTGATGGCAACAAGGGAAAAGGAAGAATGAAAGAAAATGAAAGATTTCATGGCAAAGACCACCAAGCACCATGAAGGACAGGCAGGAGGGACACACCGGTGCTGGGTGCAGGGATACTGTGGAGGTGACCTTGTGTGGCATGTTTAAAAATAGCAGATGCCACYGTACTTCCCACTCTGCAGGCTTCATGCTCCCTCCTTTGTCACAGCYTGACACATCCCCTACAGCACTACATAGGTTGTAAGTAATTCAAAAACAYAACTAATTACTTCAGGGAGATGTTTAAGAACCTGAGTCTTCAGCAGATACAGGACACTTACAATGCTGCAAGTATTGTAATGCAAGAGTAGAAGGTCTCCTGGTGGGTGCCTGTGCCAGAGGAACCAGCAGCCTCAGCCCCGGTGGCACAGGGAGGTCACCCGTCAGCAATCCCCACAATCAACCTCTTGTGTCAGACGTGTGAGAAAGCTCTCCCTTTCCTGTCGCACGCTGCTGAGTACTCTGGCAGCTGCAGGCCCCCTCCAACACCCTGGCAGGCCTGAATAGACAGAGCCGCCCCAGAAACACCCAGATGTGTGCTGGGTTACTTGGGATTTACTGGCACACCATGTGTGAGATCAGCATCAGGCCAGGAYGGTGCTGTTTAGTTCATTTGGGTTTTGTGATCTAATTTCCTTACTTTAACTCTTTTTGTGCCCCCGACATCTTGAAAGGAAAGAAAGAAGAGATTCAAGATGCCAACATCTTCAACTCCTTTAAAGGGTATTCGCTCCCCGAGCTGTGTTCCTCACTGTAAAACCTCCCAGTCCCTGTGATTTAATGCACATGCCAAAACAAACTGCCAGGTACACTGGTTGTAATGCAAGGTGCCTCCAAAGACACAGCCTGYGAGCAGAATCCGGCCCTCTGTGGCTAAGAGATTTCTGTGCAAGCTCAAAGATGAGCAGTATCTGCCTGACTTACRACATCTCAGCCATTTCATCCATCTTGCTCCAGAGCGGGAGCCCACCTCYGCAAGCCACAAGTCTCTGCAGCGAGATCCACACACGCGCCACTTGTTGGGATTTAGTTCCTGTGGCTTTTATGAAGGACCACAGACTGGAAAAATCACTGGGCTGTGAACAGTGTGGACCCCTCTGCTAATGAGAGCTTATGAAGGATCCATTTATTTCCCCTTCACTGAGAAGCCCTGGCTGAGCTATGGAAGGTGACTTCAGGCGAGCCACAGAGCACGGCTTTTTGACCCCAGATACACTGCATCCGTCTAGTTCACCRCTCCTCTAATTTAGACCCAGCTTCAAGCACTGAGGGACCCTCCCAAGAATGTGAAATTTTTATGGCTCTGTCACATTTTGCGACAAGCCTCCAGCTTGTCTAAGATCCCCCTGTCAAGTTCCATTTTTCAGGCTCTTTGTGTAAAAATTGTACTTAATGGAGGAGYCTCTCCAGTGTGTGCACAAGCAAGGAGTAAAGAATACACAACATACAATCCATAAATAGAGACACTTTAGAGGCTTTTTAAACATTCATGCTTTTTGCATAATTGATGACTTTCCATAACAGATATGGATGATAAACAGCTTTAAATAAAATGAAAATTTATCGTTGTCATATCATTTATCAGCATTACATTAAACTGTAAAGTATAGRAAGAATATTGCCATGTTCTCAAACAAAATTGGTGGAAGTGAGGATAATTCAGGGGCTGCATCTTTGCATTCATCAGGGTTTTTGATAAGATTGCCAGCAGCCAAGAAGCTGCACTAGAACCCAGGAGCCAGAGGAAGAATTGTAAGTCATCACGTAGCCATCGAGCACGTAATAAGTCATCAAGCACCTCCTCTGCAGCTCCAAAGGACCAAAACCAAGCCTGTTCTCCTGGGCAGGACATGCCATTTACTGTTCATCTTCTCTAACATGGACAGCTATGGCTAAACAAAACTCCTCCTCCCACAGAGGAGGTGGGCACTTCGAGCAAGGGATTTGCCCCACTGAATATATCTAGATGTATATATGTGTGTGTGTGAGGTGCCTGTTGCTTCTTATACCGCATGAGAGGAGAAAGGATGATTAGCTTGGATCATTGTGTGACTTTCACACTTTTGCGGTCAGCTGAGATGAATCCTAACCTCTGAGAAAGACAGAGATTTGCCAAGGGATTTTAAGTCACTCCAAATTCCTTCAAATCAGGGAGGTCCTGTGTCAGGAAAGTAAACAAAATTTCTTAGTTGTGATGGCAATGGGTGTCCCGAGGCACTTCAACATCTCAGCACAAGCTGCTGARGAACCTCCTGTGCCCCAAAGCTTCACGTTCCCTGTGATTTTTCAGAAATAATTGACAGAGGCTCAGCAGGTCAGCTAACTCTCACAGGGTCCACTCTGCTGCAGCCTGCTCGTGCAGATAGGTTTGATTTTTTCCAAGTATTCCCATATCATCTCTTTGCTGATATCTTTGTTGACAAG